AAGTGGTAGGAGGGTTCGACAGTCCGCTTTTCACAGGAGTTGATGGCCGAGCGGGCGTTGAGTTGCTCGACGATACAGCCGAGTTGTGCTTCATAGGCGCAACCGGCATAGACATGCGATTCATGTGCCGATCTGGAATACCACTGGTCGAGCTCGATCTCTGCGGACCAGGGACGAATTGAGATGCCCTCTTATTTACCGAACCAGAATCATCTGCGCCCCATGCTGCGCCGTTTGTTTGTCTGTTTGACTGGGACTGCCCGGGAGAATCGATGAAGTTCCAGGCTTCAAACGACTTGGCCAGTCTTGTCATTTCCGCCAGGAGCTGCGACGTAATGTCGCACATTATAGTTTTCATGGTCGTCCGCTTGCACTCGTCCGGTGGTGGTATAGCGATGAGTCCCTCGGGTAAAGGTACCGGGTTCTCCTTCGAAAGCGCATGGTCGAAAATCAGCACTCGGTGAACCAGTGCCCTTCCGAAGCGGTCTCTCAAGTCCTCCAACTCCTGATCCAGCGTTCGGATGTTTTGTTCGGCAACGGTGGGCGCATTTCCAGAGTGTCTCTTGCTGAAGGTGACTCGGTTGAGTTCCTCTCCGTCAGCGATTGCAATAACCGCAAGGGGTTCGCGATAGAAGTCGAACGGCGATAGCGCGAGATGCGAAGGTGGGGGGACGTGGGTTATGAGTTCGTAGAATACGGCGCCGTCAGGGAAGGCCAAAGGGGAAAACATATCTACAGATTGCCGGTCAGTATGAGGGTTCTTGAAAACAGTATGGGAAATGGAAGGACATGCTCCTGTTTGGCCGCCCATCAGGGCTAACATCCCGCAAGGAGACGACATGTTCAGGCCGCAGGCGTTCAATGAAGGACGAGAAACGATCACTTCTGATTTGGCCCAGGGGTAGAATCAATGCCTTCACCCTAGCGGGAGCGATGGGTAACAGCGAGTCCAAGCTCATCCTAGCATATGTATCTCCCGTCCAGCATCTTCAACTTAAAGTATGTTGCGGGCGAGCTATGTGGCCATATCGCGATGGTCTCGTGCGTTTGGCGCTACACCAGGGGAACACGGAAGTGCGCGAAGCTCGACAGGTGGCTTCTGAGGTCGTCAAGCTGGTTATGCGATTGCTATATCGCGCGCGTTTCCGTGATCAAGCGCAAGGCTGGGCTGCAGGTCGACAAGAGCTACTTGATGCAGGTGAACAGTGGAAAGGAGCATGTACCAGTGAGGTAGAGAGAGGTTAGAGTGGATGGGAGGGAATTGACATGCAGCCACCGGCAGCAATTGACGGTGTGCGACTCGACAGGGGGGGGCTTTCAGTGGAGGAAGTCAAATCGGCGCAACATTCCATTCCCCAAAGGCCCAGTGGAGTGCATTGGGATAACTGACAGCGCTGCTGAAGTTTCAGGGATCGTAGCAGCTATCGACAACGGGGTTGACGCTAAAACACCCGCCGCCACACATAAGCTGGCCCAAGCTCGACCTGCTTCAGGGGGGTTGATTGGTTCGTTTGGCAGCCGACGTCAAGCAAGCTGTCAAAGCCACATTTCACCTCAGCCTCAATCCGAGCTCCATCCCGGGCAGCTTGCGAGTCGTCCAACGTGTTCACTCCAGCAGCGTTGGCCAGAGGTACATCGATACTTACCTCTTTCTCATCTTACACCCGACTTCGTTCACTTCTCTATTTCACACTTGACCTTACACACACAAATTGACGCACACAGCTTGAATTTTTTACAGAGCTGTTGTGTGAGTGTCAGATTGTTCCCCTCAGAGCTCCGATGAGCGCTGAATGATCACTCACACACCGCAAAGATGGCCCGCATAACGCAATTGGCCGTCTTCCTCACGCTTTCCCTCTTCAATATCTTTGGGGCACAGCTAGCCCTTGCGGCGGAAGATGGTCCCGGCTCGGCTTCCATCTTGACCGCCGAGGTCGGTCGGCTTAACAACGAAAGCTTGTTCTGGGGTCCTTATAAGTCGAACCTATACTTCGGTGTCCGCAACCGATCCCCCAAGAGTCTGTGGACTGGATTGATGTGGTCCAGAGTCGACAACTACCAAGACGTTCAGCAAGGTATGTTGTATACCGTCGTCTTCATACATGTGTAAAGGCTTACAAGTTTAGGTTTCCGCTACACATGCGAACAGCATGAAGGCCTTCATGGCTATGGATGGGACGAGTATGATGCCCGAAAGGGAGGCATCCAATCTATTCACGACGAAGGCAATCAGATTGACATCACCACTTCGTTTGTTAAGGTCCCCGGTGGAGCCAACGGCGGTAGCTGGGCTGCCAGAATCAAGGGTGTTCCGAGAGAGGGTGCACCCGCTGATCTGAAGACCATGATCCACTACTACATCGCCGAAGACAACAGCGAAGCAGAGCTTGCATTCTCCGGTGAGAATGATCCCGCTGGGTTCGACGGCGATGTTGCGTTCGAAGGCTCTTCCCAGGAGCTCGGCAAGTATAAGCTGGTCATCACTAAGGGAGAGGGCAAGCACCCTTCCAGCAGCCACGATTTGTCCGAAAAGAGACACCCCGATCGCACGACGATACGATCTCTGACAGTTCCCGAGGAGCATCAGTGGCAGGGCAAGGGTGTTGTCTTCAACCTCATCCAGGAAAGCGTCAAGTTTGTCCAGGAGAATTACGAGATGAACGAGCCGCCTCCGGCATACCTCACCTATCAGATCGAGAACAAGCCCGGCGAAGGGAACACGCACGTCGTCCAGAAGATGTTTGAGGGAGCTTTTGAGTTTGACGTCATCTTCTCATCTGCCTCTGCGGGCCCCGAGCTCACAAGTGCCGATGTCACGCGCGAGATCAAGTCGGTAACCGAGTTCTTTGGAGAACGCTTCTCTTCCATCTTCAGCCTGAAGGCTCCGTTCACTGCCGACAAATACAAGAAGTTCGCCAAGAGCATGTTCTCTAACCTACTTGGCGGCATCGGATACTTCCACGGCTCGCAGCTGATTGATCGTTCTTACGCCCCCGAGTACGACGAAGAGAACGAAGGCTTCTGGGAGGAGACCGCTGCTGCCCGCGCACGCAAGCAGCAGGAGTTGGAGGGCCCGTATGAGCTCTTCACGGCTGTTCCGTCTCGCCCCTTCTTCCCTCGAGGATTCCTTTGGGACGAGGGTTATCACCTTATCCCCATCGCCGACTGGGATATTGACTTGACCTTGGAGATTGTCAAGAGCTGGTTCAACACCATGGACGAAGACGGATGGATCCCTCGCGAGCAGATTCTGGGTCTCGAGGCTCGGAGCAAGGTACCCGAGGAATTCCAGGTCCAGTACCCGCACTACGCCAACCCTCCCACTCTTTTCCTCATCATTGAAGGCTTCATGGAGAGACTGCGCAAGACCAACGGTAGCCAGCCCGCCGAAAAAGAGCATCTCGGTCCTCAGGCCTCCCTGCAGAACGCCCACTTGGACAATGTCGAGCTCGGAGAGGAGTTCCTCCGAAGGCTGTACCCGTTCGTCCGCCAGCAGTACGACTGGTTCCGCAAGACTCAGCGAGGAGACTTGAAGACCTACGACCGCGACGCGTTCTCGAATAAGGAAGGCTACAGGTGGCGCGGCCGCACCGAGACCCACGTTCTCACGAGCGGTCTCGATGACTACCCTCGTCCCCAGCCCCCTCACCCCGGTGAACTCCACGTCGACCTCATGTCCTGGGTTGGATTGATGACCAAGTCGCTGATGAACATTGCCGACGCTCTTGGCATGGCGGAGCAGGTTGATGAGTTCAAGACGAATCTGAACGCCATCCGCCGCAACCTGAACGACCTCCACTGGTCCGAGAAGGAGGGTTGCTACTGCGATGCCACGATCGACGCTTACGAAGAGAACACCCTCGTCTGCCACAAGGGCTATATCTCGCTGTTCCCCTTCTTGGTCGGTCTTCTTGAGGCCGACGACCCCAAGCTGGGCAAGCTCCTCGACCTCCTCGGCGACGAGGAGCACCTCTTCAGCCCCCACGGCCTCAGGAGTTTGAGCAAGCAGGATGAATTCTATGGCACGGCCGAGAACTACTGGAGAAGCCCTGTGTGGATGCCAATCAACTACATGGCCGTCTCCCAGCTGAGAGTAAGTTACACCGACCCAGTCTCCCACCGACAAGAATCCCCCATCACTAACTAGTCCCACAGAATGTCGCCTCCCAGGATGGCCCTTACAAGGCCAAGGCCGCGGACCTCTTCACTCGCCTCCGCAAGAACCTCGTCGACACCGTCTACAACAGCTGGGAGAAGACGGGCTTCGCATGGGAGCAGTACAACCCGGAGACGGGCGAGGGGCAGCGCACCCAGCACTTCACCGGCTGGACGAGTTTGGTTGTCAAACTTATGGCCATGGAGGAGCCCAGCAAGTCTGGCGGCGGCAGCGGCGGCGGTCACGTCAGGGACGAGTTGTAAATCACGTACCTTGTTTGTTCATCACATCACACGGAAGCGCGCGCATCGAGGAGAGGCAATGCATATATGAAGTAAGAAGAGAGCAAAAAGGGGGGGGAAGCATAGTGTGGTTTTTGGGCGGCACGCTGGTTTGAGAAGCCCGTCCTGGGAATGAGATTATGCAAAAAGGTCGGTCTGTTCGGCTGGCTTTGAATCCGTTGTACATGCAAGGTCCCTTTTCCCCAGGTTCCTCGAACGTGTTTCCGAAGAAGGATGAGATGCCTGGCTCGGTCTTGCCGAATTTTGAACTTTGATAGTCGCATGTAAGTGTGAATGTGTGTGGTGTGCTGACAATTCCTCGTTCGGCCGGGGAGCGTCAGCCCACAGATACCGAAAAGGAAAGGGGGATATGTAAGCCGTCTTCAACTGAAGTCAGCACACACACCACGTCCGTCCCTGTCGACCGAATCGAGCAGAAGGCGACGAGCAACACCGTGAGCATTCGCGTCCGTCATCGTTTCGACATCATCTGCTTCTGCCTGACAGATTTGGTTAGGTAACCTTGCCATCCAGACTTTTTTTAGGTGAGACCATCCATGTATAGTCCTTTTCTCCAAGTCAGGACAAACGCGGAGGGTCCCCCTTTCGCCGCACCAAGACATCAATGACGACGTGGAACGCGCAGCTCATGAAGGAAGTTATTCCCGCTGCGTCAATATCCGTAGACGAAGGCACCTCCAAGCTCCGGAAGCAGTTCCGCCTCATGGGGGCCCAAAACACGTCGTTTAACACGCGGGACCGCCCGCGTAGGAGCGCGCCGAGTGAAGGATCCAAGACAAGACATTCTTAGTGATACCTCAAATCCGCCTGCCAAGCCCTCAAGAGGCTCCTCCTTGGCAGAACTCTTGGTCCGTGGGTGAGTGATATCTGGGCTTAGCAAAGTCCTAAGCCACGGGCACCACCTCTCTCCTTCCTCGCATAGCATTCTTAGTCTATCTGCCGTTATTTCTTCGCGCCTCTTCGGTTTGACGGTTGAGGAGGGCCGCGGACCCAGAAATGGTTGCCGCGGGTCCGCCTGACGTGACCTTTGCTAAGTGTGGTACGTTACACATGATTTCCCAACTATGCCATGCAGATGGACACCTACACGCCTCCATGTCACCACTCCAGGTTGGCTCTATTTCCCTTTTCGGAGATCTACAAGGCTGGCAAGGGGGAGGGTTGGCGAGGGGCAGAGTTGCTCTCTTTCTTACTCACGCTCCATAGCCACGAGGTCTCTCTCTCTTTGCAATTTCCCGCCCTTTTCTGGCTCTGGTTACATTGCATTAGTAGGCTGTGTACGTGCGTCTCTCCTACTTTCGCTGACCGAGTGGCAGGGCTGCTGTGGAACCCAAGTCTTGGCTCGGCGGTCAGCACCAGACCAGCAGGAGAGATATTGATTATGGAGGGTAGGTGGTGGTTACATGCAGGTTGTAAGGCTGATGCGGCTCAAGTGAGATATCCTAAATCAGGTTAGCCTCCGTCTTTCCGAACCAGGCAGCCGTGAATTGAGGACAGGAAGGTGTGTGGATGTTTCATATTCCCAAGCCTTTCTTGGACGATTTCAGCTTATGTCTCGTGGCGTTGGGGATTCACTAGGGGCTGTGAAGCATGATGTATATACCTTATTTACTTGTTATCCTGCCGTTGCTGATTGCTCGGGCGGATAGTAGATGAATGAAGTATGTACATCATGCCTCTTAGCTCATGGGCGTGTAAGTGATGTATTGGCTAAGTGAGATAGGCCTATCGACTTCAAAGTCGATGTGGAGGCAGTTAGCAGATGTACACCGACCGACGTGTTGCTAGGCTTCCCCTGCTTCGTGCTTTCAACTGCTTCAGAAACCCGTTGTCTCCGTTATTTGTTCTCTTCTCGACTCCGATGCCATCAGCATATCCCAACCGACGTTGTCAGTACACCACTACTGACAACACATGAGCTTCTCACGACGGTCAGCCGGAAGTCCTTCCTCTGCACACCCTTTTCTGCGTTAATGAATGATCATATGCTCGGGTACCACCGGAAGTGGTATGTCGGCCGTCAAATTTATCCCCGATCCCAGGAACCTTCCAGGTCTCTTCTGTTCCCAAACCAGATCCTGCGTCCACAACAAATCGATGCCCACCGCCGCGAAGAGCCGGCGCGTCGGTTCCTCCATTGCCGCAACCATGTTCTCATTTCCGGGCGCCTCGCATTCGCTCACCCCAATGTGGATGAGCTTGAGATGCGGGAAGCGGGTGGGTGCCACGTCTGCCAGGTACTTCAATGTTCTTGACATGACATAATGAAGATACCGAATCCTAAAAACGCGAATCGATGGCGGTAGCAGCGATGCCAGTCTCGCTTCGGGAGCGTAGGGCGTGACGACGTCCCGGATTAACCGGCAGTCGAGCGAGAGTTCCTCCAGAGCGCCGAGTAATCTCAACCGTTCGCTGTGGCGGAACTTGACATCCCAAAGCTTCATGCCATGGTGCGGCTTGAGGTGGTAGGATACGTGAAGACTCTTGAGTCGGTTTTGCACCGGCTTGAGGGCCCTTCGCCAGGAGCAATCGTAGTTCATGTTGGTGATTTCAAGGCGTTCGAGGCCAGGCAGACACTTCAACAGCTCCTCCAAGTGAGGATCCCGCATCCCCGCAATCGATAGGCTCTTCAACTTTGTCAAAAAGTCCTTGGGGTTTTTGGTCGGAAGCGTGCCGCGCTGAAGAATCCAAAGGCCTCCCGTGCTCGCATGGATAGATTCCACGTTGGGAAACATGTTCCCCATTCCGGCAAAATTGATATAGAGTGTGCATTGCCTGGATAGGCCGACTATGACACCCAGACGACGTATCGAGGGCATTCTCAGCCCCAGCCAGCTTTTTTCGGGCCAGATGGGGTCGTGGTCACTGTAACTGACGAGAAGACTTTGCAAACGAGGACAAGACTGGATAGCCGCTACTAAATCTGGAATCTCGCCTTCCAGCTTGCTATAGTCCTTTATTGGTGTCGGCGGTGTCGGCGGCTGTGGCTTCCTCGAGTGTTCAGCGTATAGTGTGCTGGCAGCTTCCCAAACTTCGGGGGGCACTTCTGAATCCGACACACTGCTGTCGGAGCTGGAGGAGTCCGGCGATGTTAGGCGAGAATTGACTTCCAGATCCCAGCTTGCAACCTGCATAGCGTCAACGTATGAGGCCAAGTCAGGTCGCTGTCGGATGGTACGGGTAAATTCCTGAACCAGGTTCGGCTCGTAAGTGTTTCTGATGGGCCTTTGCCTGGTAATAACTGTCTGTCTAAGATGCATGTTTCCCGTCGCATAATAGTGGTACAAGATCGGATAGGCTACCGCAGATATGCGCCTCGAGGTTCTGCAAAGGAAAGCCAATGCTCTCTTGTCGTCCCGGATCTCTTGTGTGTCTGCGTGAGGAAAGCCGGTGGGGTCTCGGCAATGCATGCATAGGTAGCTCAGGGTCATTTGGAGGACTTCGACAGGTAGAGACTCCATTGCGCAAAATGTCGACTCGTCGCGGGGCAAAGAAGGCAGTTGGCATCAAGAGAGGTGATACGGCTCGTGGAAGTGGAAGAGAAACCCTGAAGAGGAAAAGAGAAAGAGAGGAGGGGCGAGATATGGGTGAAACTCCTGACCCAGTAACCATACGGCACAGGTACCCGACTCCATATTGACGGCTCAGCATTGTGTTAGAGCATTCTGTTGGTGGCGTTGGTTATTGTTTGTTTGTTGTTGGTTGTCACTTGGCAAACAAGAAGCGCCCGGATTGGAAGGACAAGAATGGGAACGAGCCGTCGCTATCGCACCTATCTAAGGCGGCGTATTTTCTATGACTATATCCTTTCATACGTTTTCAACACCATCGTCACTCGAAGTTTACGACACGATAGTGGCTGGCATTGATCCGATGGTAAGGTAGTTGAATGTAGTTGGGAAGGATTTGGGGTTTAAACACTAGAGGCCAATACGTTGGAGGGGGAGGATTGGATGGGCCGCATAGAAGGTCCGGGCGCCGGCCCCTAGCAAGGACCTGCCTCCTTCCCTTGCAAAGTGCGAACCTCTGCTGTGCCTTCCCGTCTGGGGGGCGCAAAGCTCAGACCTTTTGCTGCCCACGTTCTCCTTAGTCATCCGTACGGATATCTAGGTACTCGCGTACCTTGGAGTGAACTCAGGAAAGGAAGGCCGCCCCCAACTCCCATCCCAGCGGCGGGCAATGGGTGAAATGTCGCACGTGGCTTCGATCGCACTCGGGCACTGCAACTTCAAAGTTCCTTAGGCAGCTGCTTCAGGAACATTGAGCGGCCCCTTTTGGACCCCAACATCCCAGTCGCATCCCCGTTCATCTCGTCCCATCTTACGCCTTCAACGACGACATCTCTTCAAAAGCAGCCTTTACGGAGGACAACCATCTTATCAAAGGTAACGCGAACATGTTGGCACTCAAAAGATACACGGCAACCGCAAAGACTAGTCTGCCCATCGAAAAGCCTGATTTAGACTTGGCAACAGGGCTCCAGCAACTATTGCACTGCATCCGCTGAGTCACAGTGGTTTCGATTATTTCGAATCGCTCGAAGGATCATGGGCCTGCAACCAAGTACACCACTTTGCCCGAAACACGAACCTTGCGGCAATAGCAGTCGTATTCTGTCATATCTGTCGCCCAGCGCTACCGATGCGATGCCCCTCTACAATCACACCTGCCAATGACTTCACACTTCGGTCTTGTCCGATTCCTGATGCGCCCTAGGCCGTCTTGAGCATACTCGGTCAAGCTGGACCACATCCATTTCGGCATCACACGCCAGACATGATGACTACAGCTACCACTCGATGCCTTGTCGACTGAGGCCAAAGGATCTTAGGTCATCTCCAGATGCGGACCAGCACCGCCTTCTGCCGTCTCTCCGGATGCTCCACGGGGCCCCCACGGAGTCAAGGCAGTCATTTGCTGCGAGCACTGAGCGGAGTTTCCGGCATCACCCATCTTTCCGCTTCCATGCCCGTGATTCAATGCCCGTCACTTCGCGATGCCTCGCGTTTGTGGTCACATGAGATGCCTCACAAGGCGATTTCATATACAGGTACCTACGACACCGGTGACTCTTTCGCCTGCTCACCTGCAGTGTCGATCACTGTCGGGGGAGCAACCGCCGGTGTCTTACCAATGACGGGATCAACGGCCATGACCGACCCATCCGTTGCTCACCGACCATAGGACTCAAACACCGAGCAGCTCCGGAGCTTTGTAATGACTACGCCTATCCAAAGGAAGGACATACGGGCACCGCCGGAGGCAGTCGCAACCTTCACTGCAATCAACGAATTAAAATTACACAGGTGACCGTCAAGCTGGCTGAGGCGGTTAGATCACTTCCCTCTAGCACCGGAGATGCGCTGGTTGCCCTTATGTCAGCCTCCATCCCCTCCAATCGACTCTCTACCGTGGCCCACGTTCGAGAGTCTTCAGTCCTCGCTGCTCAGAAAGTCGAAAGAAGAAGAACATCTGCACAGCCTCCAAGATGCTGACAGAGACATACCCTGTGGCTGCTACGCGATCTCATCCGGGCCGACCTGAGACGTCTCTCTAGGCAGGCTAGGCTGGTGCTTACTTTTCCTCTGCACAGGTGGTCCCCTTTGGACTACTCAGCCCTACACGTCCGACCTCTTCCCTGTCAGCGCCTCTCCCATTCGCCAAACAAGACTTGCTCACAATCTTTTCCTGTCTCTTTTAGCGCATCGACTAATCATGATGCACCAGTCCGTGTAACCAAAACCCGTCGCCTTGGATTTCGTCCCTGTCCCTCTTGTTTCCAAAAGTTCAGAGGACGAGCCAGTGAGCCACACCCTTGGCCCTCTGACGACCAGAAACGGAAATGAGCCATTGATATGACAGCCTATTGCGGAGCTCCTGGGTTACTTACAGGGAACTGATTTGAGAGCCACATCTGCCCAGATCACCGCAATCCAGGCCCGCGGCACTCCAGCGCATGGCGTTCCCCCCTCGCCTCGCACATTGCATCTCACATCATGACGAGGAACCTTGCGAAGCCCACCATCAAGTCGCCCGGGTTTCTGGTCTGCCGTATGCCGAGTGGTCTGCAGACCGATGACAGTGACACACACACATACACCACACGCATACCACATGCGCGCGCGCGCGACGGGCAGTAATGGATGTCAACTTTCTTCGTTCACGTTGCCCAGGGAAGAGGAAAGGTGTTACGATACTTCCTCGTACCTCAGTAGAAAGAAGGCTAAAACTTGTCCTTCATGGGTCCTTTTTTTTTTTTTTTCCAACTATTACCCGCCCCCGGTCGTAATCTTCTTTGGTTGCCTTGGGTACATGTCATCGCCCTCCACATATCCCAAATTTGGAAAGCAAAAGGGCTGCCTAGAGAGAGCGAGACAGAGAAGCCGTGGGGGCCGTGCCGAAACTAGCATCGCAGGTATCTCAATCTCCCACACAAGCCCAACGCCCCAACTCCAAGCCGTTGCGATACCCGTTTCCCGGGCGTCCGCGCCCCTTCGCACGGAGGCTGAGATGCCAAGTTGAGGTACCAATGGCTGGGTTTCTCTTCTTCTGCCCCCCTTGAGCTGAGGTAAATCGTAAAGGCAGGTAGGGCTGGGATCTCACTCCGTACCTGTCTAAGGTACCTCACCCCTACACGATGAGCCTCATCAACACCCACCCCCGTCTCTCGATATGAAAGAGAATATGGATGCCTTGAGGCCTATATAAACTACTCGATATATCCCCATCTGAGGCAGGAATATGATCCATCATCACATTCACAACCCAGCATCACAAGCTTAGACACAGCTCTCATACAATCCTAGAACAATCTCAAGTATCCATTCTTATACAAACAAACATCAACCACTTACACCATCGACAATCCATCTACCTCGCCTTCCACCTAAGACTCAATTTCCTCCAATACACACAAAACCCACAAATTCAACCACAATGGCCGCCTTCACTCTTCTGTTCACTCCCGCCACCGCCGTCTACGGACGCTCAGGCTACAACAAGGACGGCGACGACGAGGAGAAGAACGACCGCAGCCGCTCCGGATACAACAAGGACGGCGATGACGACGACGAGGGCCAGAACAAGGGCCGCTCCGGCTACAACAAGGATGGCGACGACGAGGAGGACAAATAAGCGTCTTACCCTTCCTTCGCACCACGGCCCTCCTGGGTTCTTTGATCCCACGAGGACTCGGCTACCGGCTTCGCATCCTTCAATCTTCCTGCCGCAGCTATCTCAATGTCTTGAATAAGACAGCGAGTCCCGCCGCATCAGACATGCGAGCTCGACATTTTTTATTCTATCAGCATTAGACCGGCGTTTTCAACACTTGCATCCGTCCGCCAACCCTGCCCTTTGCTTTCCTTGCGCGAGCATGGAGGGCTTGGGCTTCAAAGGGTTCTGGCGGCGGCGATCCTTCTTCTTCTTTTCTTATCTCATGCATTGGGCCGGAGTTTGGGGTAAATGGTAGCATCGCGACGGATCACACTCCTTCTTTCCCCTCCTCTCTCTTCTTTCATTGGAATTTGGGACTGCATAGCAAGCATGGCGTGCCTCTTCCCGAAGAGGAATAGTTTCTTTTGTCGCATTGGGTCGGCGTTGACGGATTTGATTCGCATCTCTCTTCTTCTTCTCTCCTCTATTTCTCCTATTTCTCCTTTGTCTACGACAGATTAGATTTAGATATATGAGGACTTCGCCGTCCGGGATTCGATAGTAGTCTAATCACTATTTTCCTACACAAAACCTGAAAACATCAAGAAGTGTCAGTGAAACGTGCCAAACACGAAACCATGAGAGATCAAATAGTCAAGACCTACTTTTCAAAAATCACACCGAGAACCTCTTCCACATCCCCGGCCTCGACGCGCCCCGTAATCTTGGCAAGACTATCTGCCGCATAACGCAGGTGTTCCGCCGCCAGGACAATATCAGGCTCCTCGCCACCGTCTTCTCCCTCTTCTTCAGGGTGCGCGACAGCCATGAACTCGTCCAGGAACCCACGACACTGCTCGAGCAGCTGCGCCTGCCTAGCCGTCACGCCCAGCAGGTCTTGCTGGTCCACGGGGAGGGCCGTCATGCCGGCGAACGACTCGACCAGGCGGTCGATGAGCCCGTGGATCGCGCCCGGGTCTTTTTGACCGGCGCTGCCACTGGCGGAGGGGGACTTGGCTTGCGCTTCAGCCTCGCGGCAGGAGATTGCGATGATCTCCGCTGTGCGGAGATTTGGTATTCGAGAGGCTGTTTCGTTTCTGAAGCGCTCAAGGAGGCTGGAGAAGGTGGCGGCGTCGACGGCGTCGCGCTTATTGACCACGATCAAGCAGGCCTGCGCTTCGGACGCCAGTTGTAGCGTCTCCGCGTCATAGTTGATGTGGAAGCCGCCGTCGGGGCCAGGGCTGGGCTCGACGGCCGCTAAGACGATGATGATGTCGGATTCCGAGGCCTTTTGCTTCGCGCGCCGGATACCTTCCTCTTCAACCAGGCCCAACGCAGGTTCAGAGAGACCGCCACCACCACCGGCAGCAAGTCTCGTCCTGATGCCAGCCGTATCCGCAAAGGAGCAGAGATACCCCCGGATATCGAGGCTGACCTCGACAACATCCCGCGTCGTGCCAGCCTCCATCGAGACAATGGATGCCTCCCTGCCGACGACGAGATTCATCAGCGAGCTCTTGCCGACGTTGGGCGGACCAAGCAGCGCGATGCGAATGCCATTTCGGAGGAGCTCGCTCCGCTGGCCCGCGCGCTCGTGGACACCGATACGGTGCCGCATGTCGGCGACGAGCGCGCTGACGTTGCTCATCAGCTCTGCGGGGGACTCGTCAAAGTGCTGGTCCTCGGAGAAGTCGATGAGGGCCTCGATCTCGCCTCTAGCCAGGAGGAGCTGCTCGCGCCAACCTTCGTAGGTTCTCCCCAGACTGCCCGAGCTGCCGCGCACGGCGGCCCGTCGCTGTTGCTCCGTGTCGGCGGAGAGGGTGTCGCCCAGGGACTCCACCTGTGCGAGGTCGAGTCTGTCGTTGAGGAAGGCTCGTTTGGTGAACTCGCCTGGTTCGGCGTAGCGAATGATGCTGCTGCTGCTGCTTTCGGAGGTGGAGGCGCATCGCGGGATCGCGGCGAGGACTGCCTTAAATGTTGCGGGGCCGCCGTGGACGTGAAGTTCTAGGACGTCTTCTCCGGTCACTGTCTTGGGTCCGGGGAAGTACAGCACCAAGGCGTTTGAATCCAAGATTGGTGCCTCCTCGCCGGCTTGGCCGTCTACGAGGGTTCTGACTGATGCATATCGAGGTTTTGGCAATGCCTTGTTCGGGCATAGGCCTTTGTAGACCTAGGTTTGAGTTTTAGTGCCGAGGTTTCATTCACTTGCAGGAAATGCTCTCACATCTATACATCCGGGACCAGAAATGCGTATTACGGCGATGCCGGCCCGGCCTTGTGCTGTTGACAAGGCATAGATGGTGTCTTCCTTGAAAATGACCTCTGACGTCGATGTAATGAATCGTGACTGAGTACTCGTGTTTTGTGGTGTATTTCGTTGGTAGAAGAAGCCTAAAGCGATTGACGGTAACGCCAGGGGCCGAACTCTCAATGAGCTGTAACCTCGATCACTAAGACATCTTCGAGTGTGTAAGGGGAGGGTTCGGCCGAGGCTCCTTGTCGTCCGAATAAGAGCATGCATGGACTAGTAAGACAGTTGAATGAAAGAAAAGAATAGAATTACTATGTGCAAGCCAACTACATTCGCATTGCGATCAAAAATACATGAAAGTGAGATTGTATGAGATGATGTTATTGAAATGCCCGCTGTCGACAAAGTTCCGATTTGGGAGCTATTGCAATTCAAGACGTTCGATTGGTCGGCCGGGCCGCTTTGCCCCCGAGCTTATCGCGATAAGGCTCAGACCCCTGCAACTTGCCTGTTGGATGGAATTTTTTTTTGTAGCGTCAAGAGCGAGGAAAACCAACCTGGAAGCGCCCCGCCGCCTCGGTTTTCTTCCAGCACTCGACGAACGGCAAGGCCTTTTGACAACTCTCAACCTCGTCCAATTTCCGCCAAAAAACCGTCACAATGGCGTCCGACGAGATTATCTGGTGAGTCTGGATTTAACAGAATTAATTACAGGCTTCAATTCTAATCCACCCCGCCCCAGGCAAATCATCAACCAGCAGTTCTGCAGTTTCAAACTTTCCACAGAGAAGAAGCAGACGTTCTGCAGAAACGAGAACAATGTCACAGGTCTCTGCAACCGACAATCGTGCCCGCTGGCAAACTCCCGCTATGCCACCGTTCGACGCGCTCCGAACAAGGACACGCTGTACCTTTACATGAAGACGATCGAACGTGCGCACATGCCCTCGAAGCTATGGGAGCGCATCAAGCTGCCCAACAACTACGCCAAGGCCCTGGAGATGCTCGATGACAAGCTCATCTACTGGCCCAAGTTCCTCATCCACAAGTGCAAACAGCGTCTTACCCGTCTTACACAAGTCAACATTCGCATGCGCAAGATCGCCGCCGAGGAGGAGCGCATGGGTGAGAAGCTGGTACCGAAGATGGCGCCCAAGATCCGGCGCCGCGAGGAGGCCAGAGAGCGCAAAGCCGAGGCCGCCGCCAAGTTGGAGCGTACCATTGAGCGCGAGCTTGTCGAGAGATTACGTTCCGGCGCCTACGGCGACCAACCCCTCAACGTCAGCGAGTCGATCTGGAGGAAAGTCCTCAACTCCATGGAGAAGGAGGGCGCTGGCAAGCGTGATAAGGACATGGACCCCGGTATGGAGTCGGAGCAGGAGGGCGAGGAAGAGGATGAGTCCGAGGACAACTTGGAGAAGGAGGTCGAGTATGTCTCCGACATTGAGGAGAGTGACGAGGAGCTCGAGGACATTGAGGACTGGCTCCAGAGCGACGATGACGCCGAGGATGATGACGAGGAGGAGGACGACGACTCTGAAGACAGCGACGAGGAGGCGGCTCGCAAGGCTGGCGACAAGCGCAAGCGCGGCCGGGCGGTCAAGATGAACCAGAAGAGGCTGAAGCAGAAGCAGGAGGAGCGCCCCAAGATTGCGGAGGAATTGACCTGGTGAGAGAGGCTCGCGTGGAATTCCAATGGCGTCTGGCGCGGATACCTTTACGGCTGATTACGGGACGGAAAATCAAAAACTGGGGGCATTGTGCATACTACCGTGTGTTGTGATATACCTTTTATCAAATGGCTGTTTAATATCGCTGCATTGTCGTTGTTTGCGTGCATGGTATAATCGTGCTTCTCTCCTATTCGCCCTCTGTCTCATACCTTCACATTTGCCTTGTTGATGCACTCAGCACTCTTAATAAAGTTAGTGGACCATGGGCCGTTTAGAATGCAAGTTTGTGTGAATAGGTGACTGCCTAGTGATGTGCATGCTGTTACAAAGTTCTGGTATTAAATCTTCCTTGAGTACGTCACCTAACCAGAAACTACCTAGGTGAGTGGTGATTTGCGTGTGGTCTAGAGCAGTGATCCATGCTTCACCGAGACTTACTCGAGCCAGGGGGCTTTCGGTGAAGACAAAGCACTTCAATTAGTGCAAGTTCCTTTAGAACAATGCGGGTAGGCCCAGGCCCCACCACCCTGCATCATTCCGTCGGGCGACAAGTGTCGGACCCGTCAACCCAGGTCGCTTCCCATTCCCTATCATTCAAGACCGGCTTATTTGAAACGGACCACTTCAATCAACCCTCCAAAATTAAAACAGCACAACGAAACCACCCGCCGGCATTTAGTATCCCAACTTCTCCTTTTTCTCACTACTCAACTACTTCGATAGCGAGCGAGCGATTTCACAGACATAAACCCCGACGAGTAGCTTTCGTGCGCCGGAGCAGAGCTGTTTACCCCAACCCGTCCGAAAACAGTCGAAAACAGCGCCTTTTGCCTCTCTGCCTTTGCCCCGCAGGATCCTCGCCGCAAGGAACAAGGCACGATGTCATCTTGGTACTCGAGGATCCTCACCAACACCACCTCTCAGATCTCGAACCTGCAGAGTCGCTTGTTGCAGAGCGAAAATGACGGCGACACTGAAGACGACACCCACGTCTGCAGAGTCCTGAGAGGCTATTACACCGAGAAGGGCCGTCCGTTCCCAGGCTGGCTGCCGCCCGACCCAAAGGCACCACCCCCAGCAGCGCCCGTCTACGCCCAACCAGCCCAGCAAGTCGGCGCACGATACGGAGGTCTGCAGCAGCAACAGCAAGCTGGTCCTACGACGGGCTTGAGCTCTCTGTGGGACAATAACGGTGGCGCGCAACAGAGGCAGGACACGATGAGCCTGCGACAAGGTCGCGGAGCTCCCCCACCGATGCGAGGCGCCGAGCAGCAGCCCGCGCGTCTGAGCCCCTTTGCCCGAGCCGGAGACAATGGACGCGAAGAAGTGCAGGCCCGACCTCTGCCCAGTCAGCGAGCGGGCAGCTATCAGCAAAGTGCGGCGTATGGAAGAGACACGACAAACACACCACCGGGTAGCTCAGCGGGCGGCTCAGCACAGGATCGGCTTAAGCAGCGACTATGGGGAGGTGCGAGAACAACCAGTCCGGCATCCGGCGGCCAAGGACCATTCCAACCACCGATGGGCAGAGGCGGGAGCGGTGACTACGAAGACAGATTTGCTCCCGGCGGCATGTACGATGGTAATGGAGGCGGCGGTGGTGGAGGTGGAGGAGGCGGAGGTAGGCCATTTGTGGCATCCAACTCTCCGTGGTCGAACAACGATCCTGGCTATGGTGGAGGCGGCGGCGGTGGTGGCAGTGGTGGGCGAACAGGACTGCCTGCTGGCCCAAGACGTCAAGGTCTCCCGAGTGGTCCTCGTATGAGATAAAGTGGACGGGATCAAGCGGTGCGCGGAACGCGAGCGAAAATACGCCTTGAGGATGACGGGTCCTTTTTCGGGGGTTCTTCATTATGATGCGGGCGTTCGCGGTCAAGATGCTTGGCGGACCGGAGTCAAGTTGTCGACAGTCGGCTTAGTGTGAGGATCTGCGGACCGTATGTAAACGGGAGACATCGCAGACCCTCGAGGCAAAGCAGAATGCGGATGTTGCTTGGAGACATGTATCCGGAAAGGTGCGAGAGCAGAGCTGAGGCACATACATACACACAATACACACACTACTAATCATGCATTTGGACTGAAGTCGCTGGCCTTGATGTGTACTTCGGTCTGCTGGGCTTCATCAAAAGCTGCAGACATGTCGCAAGCTTCCGTCGTAATGGAATCCGCCTTGATGCGCGAAATAGTGAGCCCAAGTGAGTCACGATGTTTACACCCAGAAACTCATAAAACGGAACGGCGAGTCCGCGATGAAGCTTCGTCTCGCGAGGCCGAATCTGGCGACGATGGAGCGAGTTGCTTGCGCGTGCAATACGCAGCCTCGGAAGGACCAACCGGAGGCGCAAATGACGACGCATGCATGCTGCAGATGACATGGTTCACCTTGATGTGCGGGTAGCTGTACCGCCACACTACGCTAAAAGGCTGCCTAAATCGCGGTACAGATACAGTGGGAACAACCCCTCCGAGACATGGATGCAAGCTTTCGCAGCGGGGTGATTCAGTGACGGAAGTGGGTGGCCACGCCCCTCAGAGGGCGCGGCGACGACTGCGCAGCACCTTGCCTGGGCTGTTCGCCCCCAACGTCCCATATCATTAGCCACAGTTCGCTCACATGCCACTTTCCCCGGATCATCCTTTTTGTTTCTCGCTCTTGTCACTTTATTTTTCTACCGGAAACTCTAACAGTAGAGCCACTGTCGCAATAGTTCCGTTTCCTGAATAGCTTCACCCGAAACGACAGCAGGCCTTCGGAGCCGAAGCCTTCCGTACATCCCAGCTTACATCATCGGCGGCGCACTGCACGATGACCTCAGACTCAGATCCCCCGCCGTCCGCCAACGCTCCACCACCGACGCGACCTCGTTCGCCGTCGGGGAGCTTCTATGCCCTCAGCGACGATGAGGAAGGGGACTACAACACAATCACGCATACAGAAACAGGACGGGGCGTCAAGCTTCTCTTCTCTAAGAGCAAGGTATATCGTGTTAACCACTCTCGCCACTCCACACCTCAAAGGCCGGAACTAACGGGAAATATTGCAACGTCGCAGGTCTATGTTCACCCCACGCCATCTGCGAAAGATAATATCCCAGGCTACATAGCCTTACTCCAGCAAAAGGGAGGCTCAAGCGAACGACCGACTTCCTCCTCATCTCGAGACTCTCGCAGCCCACCTCCTTCCAACCTGCTCCTAGCATGGCTCCCCGAAACATCTCTCGGCGAATCCGAGAGTATTTACGTCAAGGTCGACCTCAGTGAAGGTGAATCGCCGCCTAAGCAGTCGTACCTGGTACCCCCTCCGCCGACGGTCACATCCCACAGAGGCTCTGTAGGCACATATGCTTTCGCCATTCCGGTCAGCGCAATATACTCGCTTCTCGTGAGACCACCGAGTCTGGGTTGGTGGTTCGGCTCTCTAATCATCAACTCGAGAGCTGGTGACAGTTTTCCCGCGCTATTTTTCCACGACAGCGAATGTCAGAGCACCATCCTAAAGAGGAAGAGGCGGACGAGGGACAGCTTCGACCCATTCGGTGACCGGGGTGAGATGTTTTGGGGCGGCGATGAGGTTCTGCGATGGTTGCGGCGCTACGTTCCGATCGAGAGATCCGGCGCCGAGCCCAACATCTACTTGGTGGAGCCCTCGAAGGAGGACAGCGAGGCATTCAGTGGTAAGCTCACGTCCAGTACGGCTCAGGCCGGCCAAAAAGATGGTTCGGGGACTCGAGCCGGCGGCGCTGGCCCCAGTGGTGATGCGCAGATTCGACCCATTCGGTGACCGGGGTGAGATGTTTTGGGGCGGCGATGAGGTTCTGCGATGGTTGCGGCGCTACGTTCCGATCGAGAGATCCGGCGCCGAGCCCAACATCTACTGTAGTGGGAGCCCATCTGAGGAGGACAGGGGCATTCAGTGGTAAGCTCACGTCAAGTACAGCTCCAGGCCAGACTTTCAAGAAAAGCGCAATCAGGAGTGCCGAACAAAGTGAGCGGGATCGGAGCCAGAGGATATGGACTGCTAAGGAGGTCTTGGAGCTCGAGGACACCGATGTTGGAGAGTTCGAGCTCCTAGACGGCAGTAGCACCATGTCGTTGGAAGACAGAAGAAAGACGGTGACGCTGAAAGAATGGAACACGTTCTTTGACCCACGAACCGGAAGGCTTTCAGTCACTGTTGACGAAGTCAAAGAACGGGTGTTTCACGGAGGACTGGACCCAGACGATGGTGTGAGGAAAGAGGCATGGCTCTTTATTCTCGGGGTTCATGACTGGTATAGCACTGCCGAGGAGCGGAAAGCTCATCTCGCGTCCCTACGAGACGAATATGTCAAGTTGAAGGGAGCATGGTGGGAGAGGCTAGTAGACTTGGGAGGCGAGGGCGAACAGGGCGAGTGGTGGCGTGAGCAACGCGGTCGAATCGGTAAGTCTCTATGATGTCCCTTCGCGTCTAGCCGCAACTAATATCATGACAGAAAAGGATGTTCACCGGACAGATCGTAATGTGCCCATCTTCGCCGGAGAAGACATTCCGCACCCCGATCCCGACTCCCCCTTTTCTGAGGTCGGCACCAACGTCCACCTTGAGCAGATGAAGGACATGCTCCTGACGTACAACGAGTACAACAAGGATCTCGGCTACGTGCAGGGCATGTCTGATCTCCTTGCTCCCATCTACGCTGTCATGCAGGACGATGCCATCGCCTTTTGGGGCTTCCAGCACTTCATGGACCGCATGGAGCGCAATTTCTTACGAGATCAGTCTGGCATGCGATCTCAGCTACTGACTCTTGATCATCTCGTTCAGTTCATGGACCCCAAGCTTTACGCTCACCTGCAGTCTGCGGATAGTACAAACTTTTTCTTCTTCTTCCGCATGTTGCTCGTCTGGTATAAACGGGAGTTCGAGTGGATGGACGTATTGCGTCTTTGGGAGACTCTGTGGACGGACTACTTGAGCAGCAGCTTCCACCTCTTTGTGGCCTTGGCCATTTTGGAGAAGCACCGCGACGTCATCATGACCCACCTGCAGCATTTTGATGAGGTGCTCAAATACGGTATGTGGTCATCTGATATTCCTGTCAATTCGTCACACTAATCTGGTACAGTCAACGAGCTTTCCAACACAATGGATCTTGACTCAACTCTAATTCGCGCGGAGGCGCTATTCCGTCGGTTCCACCGCCTGGTTGAGGCCGTCGATAAGAAGGGCAATTTTCCGGGACCGAGAATCCGAGACCCGGGATCTCCTTCGAAGTCGGCATCTAATGACAAATCGCCACAGGAGAGCCAAAGCAATGCAGGCCCAGCATCGCCACGCAAGGACAAGAGCAAGGCAACTGAAGAGCCCGAGGTCAAGAAGATCATCACTCCCGAGTTGAGAGAGCTGCTTAGTCGGAAGGTCGTGATCTTGCCGCGGAAAGAAGTAGCGAAGAAGGGCGACGGCCCCGGAAGGTCATGAAGAACACACAAAGTTACACGAGGACACGACGGAAAACCATGGGTTGGAAATGGGGCAGGTATGACATTTCGGGCGTCTGGGCGTTGTGTCTGGACTAAATATCAATCGGAGGCGAGAACACTTACGCTGCAAACGTGTACGATACGTCCTTCTATCCCCTAATACACATATTATTGTTGGCGGCACCCATGAGAACAAGATGACGGTGACATATGCCCAGTTCCAGATTTCCCGAAAAAAAGAGGTGTGGTCAGAGGCCCCACGTGTGACGCCGATGAGGGTCCCGGAAGCCCGGGTTCAACGATAGTTGAGGATGCCTTCTCCGGCTCAGCCCCTCCGAAGGGGTTCAGGGGCAGCGCAGCCGCAGCGCAGCCTACACCCCGAGACAATTGCCCGCCATCGTTTTAGGCAGGCAGGCAGGCAGAAGAGAGACAAAGAAAGGTTGTGGCATTGTTGGGTTGGGCTCTGCCACGTTCTCGCAATCTGATCTAGGTCGAACTTAGACCGTGTTGGGTGCATCGTTAGCTTCAATCCCGCAGGGTACGCGGTCAGCTTTTGGTGTTTTGGTTTTGGAGCTAGCATCGTTGTCCCCCTCCCCCCTCCCCCCTCACACCACTCTTCAATCCCTTTTTTACTCTCCGAACCTGTGACCTCACCAGCTCCGTCTTGGCCTTCACGTCATGCGTTAGGTGAGAGAGTCCCGCTAGTGGTGGTCATCCGGGCAGGGGAGACGGCCAAGGTAAGCTTCGGGGGGGAGACAAGGCATCAACAGAAAGTAACGGTACTGCCTCAGTCTAATGCGAGTTCAAGGAGAGAATGATTCTGGAATCGCTTGGAAGGGGGAGGGTGTAAGTAAGAGCAACGTGGTCAGTCATTGGAGACCTCCCTGTCTATTGTTATTTGGTGTGTGTATCTTGGGCTGCCCCCTTTGACCCTCACCTAAGGTAAGGTGAGGTAGTATAGAAGCCTGGGGTTACCACCCCCTTTTTTGCCCGTTGCATTACTTTTCGAGACATCACAAGGACAACTCACTCAACATATCAGCACTTGTTTGTTGGCGGCGTCACGTTCGGAACTCAGCCGTCGGCACTCAGCTCCCCTCGGACACTTCAGCCCTCAGCTTGCGACTACATTTACAACTACACCTCCTCACGCCCCCCTCCTTACGATAATTCCCTCGCCAACGTTTTCAAACAACACGAAGTGACCGAACTCAAGCATAAACAAGCCACCAAATCCGCTTCGATCAAGGAAAAGGGAGGGGAAAGGGGGACTCGAGAAACAAAGAAAGGGAAGGAAAAACAAAGGCAACAAGTCACCCTCTCGCAACTATGCCCTCACATCACGGAGGTCACGGAGGTGGCGGTCCGGCTGTCGCCGAGGTAGTCAAGGACCGCGCCTCCGTCGTCGTAAACGAGGTCTCCCGCGGGCCCGTCAACAATGAGATCATTGTCGCGAACAGAGAACGGGACGTGGCTGTCGTACCGGCGGGCGCTCAGGTCATCAACGAGGTCACCACCACCGAGGTGTTCCCCGGTCGTCCGGGGTACGGGTACGGATATGGGCCTGCCCCGGCGGGGTATCAACTCTGCACGCAGTGTCGGCGCTGTAAGTAACACTTGTCTCCTGTAACTTTTCTAGCATTTCTCATCTACGAGCGTCATCACTCTCCCAACCCCCTGGATCTTGATGATCTGGGGAGCATGCCCCTTTCCCCCCGAAATTCTCCCCCTTTCCCGATGGCCTCACCCTCTTAGACCTCTGAGACTAACGTCCTAATGTAACATCATAGACTGGCACAACTCCTTCACAGAGACAGTCTGCTACCGCTGCCGCTCGTCCTACGGCTACCGAGACCGCTTCGACGACCGGTTCAGCTACCGATCGGGGTATAGCGGCTCGAGCTACGGCAGCTACGGGTCGGAGCGGTGCGCCTACTGTGAGCGGCTGCGGTTCGAAGGGCCCGGGTACCGCCACGACGGCGTGAGCATCTGCCGGGACCGGTACGGCCGGCCTGCGCTTTGCAGACCGAGGCGGGTTCTGGTTGAGAAGACTGTGAAGAAGTATTACTACTAAAGAGGGGAGAAGGTGGAGGTGGGAACATAGTCAATCCGGATGGATGTTTTCGCTTTCGAGTATTGGGTTTTGAGGTTATCCCTTACTCGTCCGTCCGATTTCATTTAGGCATGGCGGTTGACGGGGGAGACGTTGGGTTGACTTGAGCGCCAGTTGTCTTCCTGTCTTATTTCTTTTCTTGCTTGTACAGTTTCTCACTATGCTTTACGTCTTGGGGGTAGGACTGGGATATGGGTCTTGTTCGAAGTTTTTCTCCCAACTACTCTTGGCTTTCTGGCAAACAGTTGTCACTCCCGAATTGGGGGGTGATAATTCCATAGACTCTTCTTTTCTTCAAACGCAAGTTTGTCCTTGTGCGTTATATATGGTAGCCAGCTTTTGTCATAATAACTCAGTATCAACTCACGAAGATTGTCTCGGATCTCTTGTCAGCATTCCCCGAACTCTTCGAGCAACTATCCACTCCCTACCTATCCAAGAGTGATCTCCTTCCACGCCTTTCCAGGGCGAAAAGAAGCCATGTCGAACGCCCGCTGATACACCTTCGCCAGCCCAGCCCTTTCAGCAACGCTACGATCCTTGTTCCAGGTGATGACGAACGCGTAGTACAGATGCCACTCGGACACCTCGCGGTCCTCGGGCACATAGTAGTTCCAGCTATCCAGCTCCTCCATTGAAAAGTCCCGGGCGTCCGAGATGGCTGCGAGCTCGACGACGTCGCCCACGCGGGCGAACCATGTATCTTCGAGGATCACCGTGCCGCACCAGTCGCCGTGGGCATCGAGAAGGCCGAAGCGGTGGAGGCCTGCCTCGAGCTTGGAGGCGAAGGACGGGCTGCTGCGGCTTGTTCTAGAGAGCTGAAAGAAGGCGGTGTAGGTCCAGAAGTAGAGGTAATCCTCTCGCAAAATGGTTGTGGTGGGCATGGTTGGTTTGGGTGCATGTGCGATCTCTTCTGGGTGCTCTTCATCGCTCTGGCTAATCTGACGACCGAAAGGGATGTCTTGTGCAGGGGCTCTGGCGTATCCGTGCCATCGATTTGGGTTGTGGTGGATTTCACCTGATGACCACACGACTTCGAAAGTTGACTTTTTGCTGGCCTCGCTAGTTACCAGTGGACGGTTCCCCGTGGGTTCATCTCGTGCCATCTTATACCATACGACCCAAGTGTGCGACTTCAACCACTCGTGAAGATTCAACAAAATACCAGAGACCATGGACAGCCGCCACGTCGACGCACCATGCCAGCCGCTCCACGACCAGCTGGGATACCGCGATCGACCACCCAAGTCCTCGAGCCTGAGGCCGGAAATCTTCTTCTCCCACAAGAGGGCAAAGTCGAAATAGGAGTCTGGCATCCCGTAAAAGAGGTTGGCGCGGAGCGGCGGAGAAAGAATGGCCGCCATGCCCTCAAAGGCCGGTAACCGATCGCCCTGATACGTCATGAGCCTGCCGCTGAAGAGCTCGACGCACTCCAAGTACAGCCTGACCGGGTTCTTCTCAAACGATTTCAGCGGAGACCGGATCATTTCCAGGGTCCACGACGGGGCGAGCACCTCGGAAAAGACCTCTTCGGACCACGTCGCGTGGCGGCACTGAAAGAAGACGCGATTCTCGACAAAGATCATGGACCGCTTGGAGAGCATCCGTTCCTGGAACGTCCACGCCCTGCTATTCCACATGGTGTTTTCGACGAGCCCCTCGACCGTCTTGGTGGTCACCAGGTCGATGCCGTTGCACCGGACCGTTGGCTGCCGGGCCTCGCGGGGCGTAGATGGCGATCCTGGGATTCCGTGGTGAGAGCCGCTGCCGGCGGCGGCGCAGATTGTGAGGATCGAGTGTCCGTATACGCGGTCCATCATCGGGACGACACGGAACTTCTCCTCCATGTCGTCTTGCAGGATGCAGAGAGCGTCGACCCAGAAATACTTTATACCCAGCGCTTTGACTAGCATCATGGCATCGCGGACGGTATTCGGTAGACCTGGGGTGTTGGGACCGAGGGATCCCTTTGAAGAGTACCCGGACACATTCTCCTTCGTCAGGATGAGAGGTTGGGTCCCACCCCATACGTAGCTCAGAGTCGCGTATTCAGTGATTTGAACACCGCCGCGGGCGCTGGTGACGATTTTCTCCTCGTCCAAGTCGATGAACTTGAGGTTCTCCAGCAGCGAAAAGACTTCATCCGGCGGGGAGGGCTGACAGCCGCTGCCATGGTACGTCCTACATATGTCGAGCCAGCGCCGGAGAAGACTTACGTCGGCCTGGTGAGGAGAAATTCGCCGGGCCAGGAAGGTCTTGTCCCACGTCGTGTGAGGTTCCGTGGCCAGCAGCATGATGTAAGCCTCAGTGAAGATTTCGTCCGGGCTAAAGACCTTTAAGCGGCGAGTCGGCGGCGTATGCGTAATGTCTCTCGGCCCTACAGAAGGTTCCAAGAGACGGCCGTCCAGCTGCCACTCGACGGAGCAGCGGACCCGGCCGCCGTCTCTCGTGAGGCCATCGTAGCCGATTGCCTGACGGACGTTGGGGCGGCTCCATTCGAAACGATCGGTGCCTTCTTCGTTCGTCGCGTGCGTTGCGTTGAAGAGAAGCCAGCACAGGGGACACTCGTCTCTTCTCCGGTAGATCTCGTCGAGGTAGCCCAGCTCCCGCGGCTGTAGCCCGACGGGGTCGATTGGACGGGCGAGGAAGCCTGGGAGGGAGCTGGCCTTGGGCTGGCCTGGTAGGAACTTCTCGGCTGAGAGGTTGAGTTGGCTGCACGTCGTGCATAAGTTGTCTAGAGGAGGGAGGCAGTCTACGTGCCCTTTGGGTGCACCTATGGCCGGCATGTTTACTGACTTTGGAATCAGTCGTCTATGTTGGTGGAAGTCTGGTCCCGTCCACGGATTCGCTAACACAACACTCTGAATTCAAGTCCAGCATGAGGAGATTCTTCCTGTCCACAAGCCGTTTAGATGTCGCTGTGTAGTTCAAGTCAAGGTGCGAGGCTAATGTTGAGACAGGAAGGAACGCCATCTTGCCTATCTTGCCCCGGGCAGCTAGCTTGCAGAGCTGAAATCATGATTGCCTGTGATAGGCTGGCACCGGCGTCGAGTTCCGCTTGCGCCAGTCGTTCCGTCTGGACCTTGTGTCCAAATGGTCAGCGCTTGCCACGACGATACCACATTCAGCTGCAGCTGTGAGATTGTGAGATTCATCCAGTGTGAGTGAGCACTGAGGTCAACGTGAGTGGAGTATTTGCGGAGCTCGACGTTGAACGGCCCCACATCATGAGATGATTGGAGGTGGGGGGGCATTGGATGACTTCAATGTAACTTTCTCTCAATTTCATCTTCAACCACGATATTGACGATCATACACAGACTTCCTTCATATATATGGAAACTTTCCAAAAGTCGTATGCTTATATAATGAGAAAATCGAAATAAGACGGCACTCATATCACGAGAGTAGCAACCGCATCAAGCACCACACCTCAAAACCCTCCTCATCAACCTCATATAATCATTATCAAATCCCCCATCAAGAGGTACGCCACACACCTCATACCACACACACACAACAATGTCAGACGATCTCAAAGACGAGATAGAAGCCCTCAACTCAATCTACGGAGACGACACCCTCCGCCACACGCCACCAGACAACTATGTTCTCACGCTTCCCGGCGGCCCGGGTGCCTCCTCGCTCACCCTCCGCTTCGCCGACTCGTACCCGGACGTGCCGCCAGAGATCCTCGGCACCCACAGCGCCGGCGAGAACGCGCCCCGCGGCGCCGGCGCCCGCGACCTGCTGCTCTTCCGCGAGGCCGTCGCCGCCGTCTACCAGCCGGGCGCTGTCTGTCTCTTTGACGCCGTGGAGGAGTTCTCCCGACGCGTGGAGGAAGTTTCAGAAGCTGAGCCGTCAGGACCACCCACCAACTCACACTCTCCACCACCGTCATCACCACGGCTAGAGGAGGAGCACGGGAACCAAGAAGCTGACTCTCTGCCTTCCTACATGCTAGAGGAACCCCCCTGGATCATCTCCGACCCCTTCGTCGAACTCAAATCCGTCTTCCTCGCGCGCGCCGCGCCCGTGACATCCCCCGAGCAGGCCGCGAGTTACGTCCAGCACCTCATCGCCACGGACAAGAAAGTGCGCAGCGCAAGCCACAACATGACGGCGTGGCGCATCCGCGGGCCCAACGGCACGAGCTTCCAAGACTGCGACGACGACGGCGAGACGGCGGCGGGCGGGCGGCTGCTGCACCTGATGCAGCTCATGGACCTGTGGGACGTCATGGTCGTTGTGACGAGGTGGTACGGCGGGCAGAAGCTGGGGCCGAGGCGGTTCGCGCTGATTAACAGCACGGCGAGGGATGCGTTTGTCAAGGCTGGGTGGGCGGAGGAGGCGGGGCAGGGGAAGAAGAAGGGGCATGGCAAGTGAGTGGTTTCGTTTAATGTAGGCCTCTTGCAATGGGTGGCTTGTGTTTTCAAGTCTGGTCGATGCATCAAGGTATACTTGGACCCGAGCGTCGAATATGAGGTAGACGGTTTTTACGGAGGTCACTTGACTCATGGACCGATTCTGGGAAAGACATCACCGGAGAGCTACCGTGAGCTGCCGTATCAAGACGTCACAGAGGGGATCATCAAAGAGGTGGAGATCAAATCGCTTCGAGTTGAGTTTTGGGACCGAAACTGGTCCCGTTCTCTCGCAAGACAAGACATACAAAAATTGGTATCGAACAACAGAGAGCCGCCCTCCGTAAAACGCCAATATGCCAAACCAAATTTGCGCGCGCGAAAATTTTCACAAAAACGACAGATTGCCAACCCGCCTATACCAGTTCCATGCTAGTACAATCGTTCCCTTCATGCAACTTCGTTAGATTTCGAAATGTGTGGAAAACTCGTAATGGTCCCTCGAATTCTTTCCTTCAAAAAGACTTCCCCATCTGGCCAGATATCCCCGCAATGCAGTTGCCTCCTCCTCCTGTAACGCACGATCAAACGTCAAATCAGGCCTTGAAGAGCTTGGGCTTGAGGATCTCGAGCGCGAGTATCGACTGCTCGCAATCGAGAATGACGGCCCCGGCCCGGGCGGTGGAGAGGTACGACAGCCCCGCGCTGTCTCCCGTGCGCATATCCTGCACCAGGGTCCCCGCCACGCCGCATACGATACCCGTAGCCTCGAACGGCAGGCTCTCGAGGTCCAAGAAGATGGGCGTTAGGTTGGTCTTGGTGTCGCCGACGAGGGAGTCGCCAAAGAGGCCGAGCAGCGACTTGTCGAGCAGCAAGGAAGGCGGGTCCTCCTGGGCGAGGGTGATGGAGAGAAAGCGCGGGCGCGCGGCCAGGGCGGAGATCATGGCCGTGTAGAGCTTCGCGTCGATGTTGTCGAGCCAGGTTTGTCGGTGGCTGTTGCCGGTCACCTGGCGGCTGAGCGAGGGCCGCTGGGTGTGGGAGAGCTCGCCGCCGAGCTGCGAGGTCTCGCGGCCGGAGCACTGGACCAAGAGGAGGTTGTCCTCGACGTAGGGGGCGACGCTGCGCTTCTTGAGCAGGTCAAAGGTGCGGACCTGCAGCTCGGCGATGGTAGAGGGTGGCGGGGTCAGCGGCGGGGCGCCGGCGCCGTTGCTGCCGTTGGTCTGGCTCGGTCCGCGGGAGTGTATCGAGGCGGCGGGGCTGACAAAGTTGGAGTCGTTGTCGGCGAGTTCGAAGCCGCGGGCGAGAAGGGCCTTTACAACCGTCTGCCTGTCCTTGCTGGGGACGAGGATGAAGTCGGAGTAGTAGGTAGTGATGAAGAAGATGGGAATCCCGGCGAGAGCGAGGGGAGAGGTCAGTTCCATGACGCGGCCGGCGGCATCCATGCCGGCGCTGATGACGGAGAGCACGAGGTAAGTGTCTTTGGATATTGACACGGATTTGGCCAGGTCTTTTGGGAGATCCTGGATGGCCGGCTCAAAAACGTTCTTGGCCCAGGAGCTGTGGCAGACGATGGAGCACTCCATGGGGGTGACGCTAATGTTGAGGAAGCCATGTTGGCTCTCGGCGTTGAGACCTTCTAGTTCATGTTCCGGCTCTCCTTTTGACGCCTTGAGGGTCTGGGTCTGCGGGAGAAGGACGCGGAGAATGGGCTGCAGGAGTACTGAGTACAGGTCGAGGGGGATATGGATTAGGGTGTAGTGGCCATCCTGCAGGGAGCGCAAATGCGGTGTTAGTTGAGAAGCACGATAGAGCCAAAGAGGTCTGCAAGGACCAAGACATTTTGTGTGTGTCATTATCTGCTTTAGCTCCGAGAGCAATGTGCAACTCGGGGCGACGGCGACGGTGACGGACACAGCGTTGCAGTGGGACGAAGTAAAAAGCCCCGCATTTTGGTGACTCTTGAGATTCATTCCCGCGTTGCGGTTGTGTGGGTGTGTGTGTCGTGTGCGCAGTATGAAGATGGAGGGGGGCAATGAGTGACACAGGATGTTGGAGAAACTTACGAGAAACGAGACCTGGGCATTCATTGTGAGGCGCAACCTTCTGATGGCAGTTGGAGAGCCACAAGAATGCTTTCCCGCGCGCCAAAGTTATCCTGACGAAGAAAAGGGAAAATCAAGAGGAAGAAATAGCAGGTTCGATGTGCCGGTGCACGGATGGTTGGTTGAAAGTTTGCGCGCGCACCGGGGATGATATCGGAGGGGGACGGGGGCAACTAAAGGTGTTCCTGCAGCCGGCTTCGGTTTGATCTTTTCATACGGAGTATACGCTGCTCGGGGGTTCGGGTGTCGTTGGAAGTTTCCTTGGTCACAACCGGCGGGGTCCGATGGCTGTCTTTTTTCTTTGCCTCTCTTTTTCTGGGTCCTCTTGAAAAGTCCAAGAGTCGTTGGAAAAGTTTAAGCTTTCGGTAGTCGTGGGCTGACAGGGGAGTCGTCTCTTGTTATCTCTCTTTCTCTGATGTTGTATTTCCCCTTGCGTCTGATTTACGGATGGGTTTGCGGGGAAACAGATGCCTTGGTGGTGTTAAAAAAGAAAAAGGATGAGGACTGGGAGGCTTTACCAAGGTAAGGTAGAGGAAAGATGTAAGCCGGGGAAATGAACAAAGGGAGAGAGAATCCCCAAAAGTGAAAACTAGGAAAAAGGGAAGGGGGATGGGGCAAGGTTAAAAGGAAGTGCACGAGAGGAGACGTTGGAAGGGGAAAAGAGGAATTAGGTTCGTATGGGAGGACCCTGAAGACGAGCTACTATCCAAGGTGGGCAGGGCAAGGCAAGGCAACAGAAGCTGGGCACTAGGTACTCCGTACTCACTTCTGATTTGGGGGTTGCCTACCTACTTACTGTTGGCACCTATTTCTCACCTCAGGCTGGCCATGATACATTTACAGCCCAAATGAGGTGAGAGGAGGGGTGGGAGGGGTGTTCAAGAGAAGGAGGAGAAAGTACATGGGCCTTGGTACGTAGGAGTGCGGCGTGGTGCTGCAGCAGCAGAATCAGCAGCAGCGTACTTTCTGCGGCGGCGGCGGCCGTCCCAAAAAGCGCACTAGAGCACGATCTGTGCGTCTACATGCCGACGAGCACAGTACCTACTTTACATAGCAAGATAAGCTGAAAGGAAATGTACCTCACGCAGTATGTGGGAGGAAGGGCTGAGACGAGACGAGACGAGACGGAGCCCAGATGGGCGCTGAGCATGGGAAAGGAAAAAAAACGTGGGTTTTGCGGCTTTGCCTGCTCACTGTCCGTAGTTCATTTTTCTTGCCGCGATATTCCGGGCCACTAGAGGGCGTGGAGGGGGGTTGCAGATAAGGTGAGGTCCGTAATGTCACAGTAGCGTTGAAACTTGAAAGCCTGTGCTTTTTGGAGCCAGGGCCCAAGGGGGGTGAGTGACGACGATTCGGTGATTTTGCGCCGAGATGGCGGATGGCATTTCGTGATTTAATTTCCTCATATCTTGTTGGTTTGACGAAACATCATTTGTTGTGGCTATCACCGGTTCTGGCCTCGGGGATCTACCGCGTTCCCGTGAATCCATTGAAGGATCATGACCCTCTGTGGAGAATGCCGAGTGGAATATTCCGTCAAAGGTTGTGTCGTTTCCGTCCAGTCGCAGTTTGTTTTGCTGTCGTGCTCTCTTCTGGTTCGACGATATCCTCTATATCTTACTTATATCGTCACTTCTCAAAGACGGCCAGACTCGGTCAGTACACCGGCAAAAGCTGAGTCTTGATCTGACGACTTTGACTTCGAACGAGGGCTATATCCGTAGATTCGAATGTGATACATGAAAGAACCCATCGTCCATCTTGTACCACATTACGTGCTATGCGTGGGGTAACTCGTGAGAAGCTTAGCTCGTGCGTGGCTATATGCGGACAATGGCATGTCTTGGAATGTATTGTCTCGAACTATGACGAGGACGGTGTGAGTTCACTCGCAATTGTCTTGAACCCAAAACCCACGCGGCTACCTACCCATCATCACCGAGAGCTACTGTGCATTGTTCCGTTGGTTCTGCAGGTCAGAGGGAGAAGGGTGTGGGCGGAGATGGGCAGCATGACATGGCGGGGTTGAGCAGGGGTTCAAGGAAGTACAAGGTTTTGAAAGACCCATGATTGCATCTTTGGGAAGTGGGCGTCTAGTGTACACTACGGCCAGCCTGTCTCTCCTCAACGCCGCCGCCGCTGTCGCCGCGTCCACGGCGAGCAAGACCGAAATTGGTGAAGCGGGTGGGGGGTTTTTCGTGATGTTATGCCTTTTTCTTTGCTGGGTTTTTCACGGGGATATCCTTCTAGTCAGATCTCGTCTCACGTTGTCTTCTTTCTCTTCTTATCTGATTGAGGGTGTTGCGTCAAAGGTAAAGAGATGTGCTTCCACCGGGCATCGGCGGCGCTTTCTCGCGATGTTCTATCCTCGGTCGTGAGGAAGTGAAGAAAAAGCGCGGTTCGGCGGGCGCTCTCGAGTCAGGTAGGCATATGGGCCTCGGGAAGGGGTCCTTCTCTCCATCCTAAACATGGGAAACCCCGTGTAAGTCGCCAGTTGAGCCGCTGCCAATCTTCTCTCCACTATCAGAAAACCTAAACCTCGCGTTCCCGTTTTTTTTTTTTTTTGTTCTCTTTTTTTTTTTTTAACTTTGGTCCTTGACATCCGAGCCAGATATTGCGACACTACAATGGTGACTTGGAATCGCCAACAAAAGTGTAAAATCGTGTCACCAATGATGAGACTGGGCTTTGCCGCGCCATGCTGGCTTTGCATCTCGCCATCCATCGCGACAGCTGGACCGTGACCTCCATGCCCATGTTCATGTCCATGTCCAAGTCGTGAGTCGTTCAGGGTTGGCATGGGGCAGACGGGCAAACGAGCGGTTTAGATGACTACTCTTGAGTCTTGAAGCCTTGTCCTCACCTCGACTTGCTCTAGCTGCCTACCTACCCTACCGAAGACTGCCCAAAGGATGAAGGACAGCAATGAAGTACATGAAGAGGAACCGGCCGGAGCTGGAAGCAAAACTGCAGAAGGAAAAAGGTTCAGAATGCCGTTTCGGGCGACGTGCATAAGACTAGTTGAATCGGGAGCGTGGGGGTCTCAAACTCTGGGCGGTTCTCCGGTACTTTACTACTTGGTAGTTCGCGTAGTAGCCGAGATGCCTGCTTTCTTCTTGCTTTAGCTAGTTGCCAGCGGCTACAGAACCCCAGAGAATCTCTCCTCGGCCCTGGATGAAGAAGCAGGCGTATCCGTTCCCTGAATATGAACACGGCATTGCTAGGCCCAACGGACAAACAGAATGTGAGAAACAAGGCACGGAAAACCTGCATTAGACCATGACCGTTGGGGAACGACTGGGGAAGTCGCTTACATCTTGTGTAACTCGTGAAGCAGTCACGTTTGTTTCCCATTTCCCCTTTCAGTTCTAACTTCTCACCCTCTGCCACTCTTTGCCTCCCCCAAAACGAGCCATGATGGAAATGATGTAAGACGACGAGGTGCCCTGTCTTCCAGGTTGCTATGTAGTAGGCAAGGGATGATGATCATGGATGTATGGGTGCATCGGTCACTTCTCCGTGCCCTTTACTGCGTACCTCACCTCACCTCTCGTCAACTTGGGGTCTGCTGCTACCTCGCCCGTCACCTCTCACATATCAACTCTCACCACCACACGGGAAGCAACGCTGACGGGCGTCTCTCCCACAGATACTGTACCAACACACGCACATGAGCGCCCAATTGCCTGGAGCAGCATAACAGCGGCTGGCCTCGGCATGCGCATCGACTTGCTGATTGAAAGACACGAAGAGGGAAAAAAGCCCATCACGATTCACCATTGTCAACCCCCGCGGGGGTTCTTCGACAACCGCGCTTTTGACCATCCGTATGCTCAATCGGGTCTACACATCAGGTCACGGAGCAGGTTCTTGAAGATGGTCTTCGACAATGATACGTCTGCAGACAGCGGCACTCACGGCAGTTGTGGATTTGATCCTCTCAGCTGAACCCCTCCATCCCGCCGTGTGCTCATGCCCAAGCAATACCTTGTCCCTAACTATTCGTTCGAATACGCTACTTCAGCTTCACAATAGCAATCCTCAGCTTCAACACCCCACCTCATCTCCAACGCCATTGCGTCAGACCAGTAGATTCAGCCAGCCCACGGTGCGTGCCTGTGTAGCAGCCCGCGAGAAGAGGGAGGAAAAAGCAATTCTTCGTTCCCTTTCTCCCCCAGGTCCGACATGGACCATGGACCAGACCCCCGCCGATCGCAACGGTTCCTGAACCTTGTCCGAACCCTTTCCCTTCTGGTCGTGCAACTGGCTCAATTGGCCTCTCTGATTTGCTTCGAAATCGGCGCTCCATGCACAAAGTCATCGGGGTTAAACAAAGAAGCATGGGTTCCCTCCAAAGGAATTTCACTAACACGGCAATATACCTGGTCCAATACCTGTAGGTGCTGCGTCAACCCCCCTTGCTAATAGAAAAGCTGCTTTCTGCTACTGCAAGATGCCGTGGCAGCTACGACGTCCGGGTTTCCCGTTATCGACAAGCCGGGCCAAGGAGGAACAACAGGTGTTTGGGATGGACAGGTCCTTGGGAAGAATACAACCTGCCGGCGAGAGCCCACGGCTCCAATTAGACGGCGCAACTCTCGGTCAACTTGTGAGGGCGCATGGAGAACCCCGCTCCTCTCGGCCAGCAAATCCACAGTCCGCCCCCATCCCACTCTTCCTATTCCCCTCCCGCAACCCGGCCGCTGCATCCAGACCAAACTCGCAAACCCCCCATCCCAGAGCTGCAACCTAGGATCCGATCCCTTCAGCAACCGCGTCCAAATGTCACCCTACCACTACCAAGTCTGCGAAGTCCCTCGGCTGGCCGCTTCTAAGCGTCCTGTTGCTGCCAGAGCTGGTCATCGACCCCCAAATCGACGGCCTGGGGAGGTTGGGAAACCTGACTCGCCAGAGAAGCGTGGGTTGGCGACGTCGCGACGACGACTCCCGACGACAGTCTGACTTGTGACACCTCCTCGCCCTACTAGCAATGCGTCTACGGAGTAGATCGGCCCAGCTTGGTGCCCCGAATACTCGGTCGCGGCTTACACCACATGCAGATGGGAGGTATTGGCAGGCACAATACGTCGGTCATCGTCACCGCACACACCAATGACAGCATCGCACACCTTTTCGGGAAGACCTTGGATCATCATTCACGAGTTGAGTATCATATGTTCAAGTGACGAGACTTGGAGGATCGAACATGATCCTATAGAGCAAGAGGCAATAAGTGGTTTACAGGGTTTGTCACTGAGCGGAATACCTCTGCTCTCGCTCAATTGCCCCATTCGGCATTGTCTGCATCCCCGGCGTGGGATGCTCAGTTCTCACGAGAGCACTTGAGACTCCCAAGCTGACAACAACACGGAAGACGAGGCAAAAACCCTTAATGAGCCCACTTGACTGGAGACAGGTGATACTCACCGGTTTGCCACGATCCATCATCTGGCCGGAGCTTCGCCGAGGTCTCGACTCTTGACCTTTGGGCAATGAGTCTTTTTCATTCTTCTGTTTTTCGTCTTCTTCTGCTCCAAGTCTCTGGAGAAATGCTACACCAATCATCTTCTTCCCTTTTTTTAGCCTTTGATCGTGCTTCCTCAAGTCTCCGATGGATCCCCCCGTTCGTCCGTGCTTTTTCACTTATCTCTGGTGTTGCGGATCAGATCGTACCCGTTCCCAGATCCACAGATAGGGAACTCACCAAGGGCCTAAACGTTTTGGCGTTATCTCAGACTATGACTGTCCACCCCCGGTCCCTCGAATAGCGTCTGTTGACTTATACCTAGGCTCTGGCCAACTAGGCCCGGTAGCTTCAACGTCGGCGGGGCAAACAGCGGCTAACGAAGGATGTGAAAGAAAATTTCGAAATATGGTTCGATATCGCGTATACTGCAGTACCAGAGAGGTCTTTGGCGCGGTTCTACTAGGCTGTCCCATCGTCCTCCACTCATACCAGTGTTGTCGTTCCAACCCATGGGTGAGGCTGTCCACGCTGTAAATCACCGAACGTTCACCGAGACACGCATACCCTGCTCCCGAGTCCCTTCTCATTACTATCACTGGCGTTTTGCACTATGGCAAGAAAACTGCGGTTATTCATGACTATACTGTCAAGCGATATTGGCCATGTGTCACTAATGGCCAGACCTGCCGCCATTATCACTTAACCATAGAAAAGACCTATGACACTGCCGGTAAGGACGAAGGAGTAATATCGGAGCTAAAATAGGCCGGGCAATTCTCGTAGTTTCCGGTTTGCAACCCTCTGCAATCGTGGATTCCTGTCCCCCGTAAGAAATCGGCAA